ACTACAAAGCTACTGTGATAAAATCAGCATGATACTGGCAAAAAAATAGACCTGAGGATCAATGGCACACACTAGAAGATTCAGACACAACTACAAACACACTCAGCCACCTTATCTTTGACAAAGGGGCCAAACATGTTCACTGGAAGAAAGATAGCCTCTTCAATAAATGGTGTGAGAAAAATTGGCTTTCCACATGCCAAAGACTAAAACTAGACCCATGTCTACTGCCATGCACCAAATTAAAGTCAAAATGGATCAAAGATTAAATATTAAAACAGAAGCACTAAATCTACTGGAAGATAAAGTAGGTGGAAATCTTGAAGACATAGGGATAGGCTGAGAGTTCATGAAAAAAAACTGCACAGGAAATACTTCAAAGAATCAACAACTGGGATTTCATCTTATTAACATGTTTTGCACATCAAAAGAAATCACCAACAAAATGGAGTGGAAAGAAAATCCAAAAGAGTGGAAAGAAAATCCAAAATTTGGGGAAAAATTTTAGCTATCTGTCCCTCACACAGAAGGCTTCTACCTAGAGCATATAAAGAATTAAAAAACATCAGGTCCCCAAAATTCAAATATTCAATCCAAAAATAGGCATCTGACACGAATACACACTTCTCAAATGAGAAAATACAAATGGCAAATACATATGTGAAAAACATCTTTAGTCTTCTGAGAAATGAAAATTAAAACAATACTGAGATTCCATCTCACCCCAGAAAGAATGGCTATCCTCAAGAAATCAGCTAATAACAAATGCTGGTGGACCCTTCTCCACTGTTGGTGGAAGTGTAGAGTGCTACAACCACTGTGGAAATCAGTGTGGGGATTCCTCAAAAAACTAGAATTAGAGATCCTATTCGACCCAGCTGTTCCCCTTCTGGGTATTTTCCCAGAAGAACTGAAAACATCCTATCACAGCAACATAGGTGCACCCATGTTTATAGCAGCACGATTTGTCATAGCTAAATCTTGGAAACAGCCCAAATGCCCATCAACTGAGGACTATACAATGGAGTATTACTCAGCTATAAAGAAAGATAAACACGAGGTTTTTCTAGGTAAATGGATGCAACTAGAAACCATACTCATAAGTGAAATAAATCAGACTCACTTGTGTAAACATCATATTGTCTCCCTAGTATAAGAAATTGAAAGAGTAAATGAGATCCAAAAAGTACAACAGACATTGTGAAAGGGAAAGAAACTGCTCAAAAAGGAAAAAATAACTGGGATGGAGGAAAGGAGAAAAGAAGGGAGGAATATATACATATATATGTAAAATCAATATATTATATAATTAATAATTATAATATAATTAATATTAATATAATTATACAACTGTATTATACAGTCATAAATAGTATTATATATTGTATAACATAATTATATGATACATAGATTATATAGTATATATTATTTCTATTATATATTAACATATATTGTAATATTTAATATAGTATATATATGCAAGATAGCTAAGATCATTGTACTACTAATTTCTATTAGTTCATTGAAAGGAATAGTTAGTGATTATATTGTTTAATCAGTTTTACATGCCTATATCTGGTAAATCTGAGCAACTACTTTGAAAATAACACACATTGTAGTCACCATTGTTAATTTCCTATCTTGTTTTGAGATTCTGTATTATTTTCATTGTTTTTTTTAATCATTGTCTTTAAAATAAAAAAAGAAAAGAAGATGCAGTATAGGTCATCCTTAAAAAAAACAAGACTTTTCAGTCGCGGACCAACATGGGATCCAAATGTACAAGCCCAGCGTGTGCCACAAGATCTTCACTGGGCAAAGCTGACAACCCCACCCGGACTCTACCTTCTATTCAATGATGCTATGATCACGCGCTCGAGTGTGTGGCTGTGTCAAATTGCTGTGGAAGTGTCTAAAGGCTGGCTCTCACTTTCTGGCCTACTCTGTCGACGCAGGACAGGAGCACACCGTTCTCAGATCCTCGGACAACACTTTGAGTAGTGCACGAGAAGAATCCAAATAAAACCTGGGAATTTGCTCTAAGTGAATTGGAAAAGTGCAGACAGGGAAGGAGGATAGAGAAGAATCAAAGATTGATGGATTTTGGTGCTGCTCGGTGTCAAGATGGAGGTCATGCTGGAGAAACAAGAGAGTGAAAGTTGAGACGTTTATACTTCCAAGGGGAGAGGTCGACTAGAGGCTTGGGTAGAGGAGTCTAGGACTCTCAAATGAATTCTGGGTCAGAAATGTGAATTGGGGGAGTTGTAAAAGCCTGCATTTAAAACATCAGCTGAGCTGAGTAATCTAGCATGTACGAGGTGTTTAAATAAAATACACTCATTATAGTAAAAAACGCATTACCGTTAATTCCCTCCAAACTAGTCCCCTAGCTTTGAGCACATTTATCCCATCATTCTGGAAGCATTTCTGGAAGTTCTGTGTCTTAGCTGTGCTATCATGGGTGCCTTGATGTGCTAAACTCTTTCAAAACATTAACTTTTCGTGGTCAGTTTGAGTTTCGGTAAGAGCCGGAAGTCACACAATGCCAGACCCAGTGAATAAGAGGGAGGGGACACCCCATAACATTTTAGGACTCCTCTGTTGGATGGCACTTGCCAGCAGCATTCACTGTTTTTTTTTTTTAATCACGCCTCATGAAGACACAAAGGTGAACTTCCCAGAACGGGCTCGGAAAGTGGCAGGAAGGATGGGATAAGTGTATTCAGAGTCGTGGGGGAGGGGGCGTAGCATTTTGACAGGGGCTAAGGGAAATGTGTTTTTTACTGTGATAAATTTTTAAAAATTTAAACATTCATCCTATTTTTCAATCATCCCTTGTATCTTAATGACAGAAGAGATCCCAGGACCCAGACCTGGGAGTGTTCTGATGTGAGAGTTGCTGGCTTCTCAGTCTCAGGAGCTGTGAGATCTGATTCGAGCACCTATGCCACTCCAAAGTTTCATAACGTGTGGAGTGAAATCTCAATACATCACAATGCTGCACGAAGTGGTATACTGCAGTCAATAAATACACGGGGATTGAATGAACAGAGCCCTAATGCCCTTCCAGCTTTGAGTTTTTGTAATTCTAATATTATTCAAATTTCTCCCAAACCATGATATTTTGGTTGGAATGATGGCCCCTCTCAAAGGAGGTAGCCACGTCCCAGCACGATGGCAGAGATTAGTGTGCCGGAGGCAAGCCAAGGAAGCCAAGGAATGCTGCCAGCAACCACCAAGAGCTGGAGGAAGCAGAGATTCTCACACCAGCACAGTCCTGTTGACAAACACCAGCCTTGGCCAACACCTTGACTTCAGACTCTTGGCCTCCAGAATTGGTAGACAATCAGTTGCTGCTTTAAGCCACCCAGTTTGTGGAAGTTTGTCAGTGCAGCCCGAGGAGACTAAAGCACGGGGTACCTTAGCAGATGCTTGCAAGGTTTGTTGTGGAGCTCAGCTTCGTTCTTGTCTAGTGGTTGGCACCTCTGGCTACGCAGTAGGATCGCCTAGAGACTTTTTTAGAATGCAGATGTCTGTGCTACACCTGGGAAGATTCTGATTCAATAAGGCCAGGGTACAAACGGGCTTTGGTATAGAGCCAGAGGGGAGAACAGCCATGGAATTAACCACAAGTTAAGATCATGGGGATGTTATGGAGGAATATCTAGGTACCTTTATTTTTCTTTTTAACCTTGGGAGTTTGCTTTGAAGCTTAACATCCGGTATCTGTATGTCCACACAGAAAACATTCTTAGAAACTGTATGAAGCAGTTTCACATCAGCCTGTTGTTTGGAGCCTATGGCTGTAAAGGCAGCCCTGTTTCCACATGAAAGCGTAAGTGGGAACTGTGACAGCGGTCACATCTTTACGCCCCCTTACTGGCCCCAGAAGTGCCATGGAGGCGTTGCTCCCCAGACTGAAACTTAACAACGTCTGACTTTAATATAAATCAAAAGATTCACTTACAAGCCCTCACTCTACACTGTCCTCACATCTTCCTGACAATCAGATAACAACTGTAAATTTTTGGTGGCATGCTACTTCATATACATTTTTAAAAATCTGCTGCAGAGATATGCTGACCAGGAGGAGAATAAATTATTATTTAGAGGAAAGAGAACTCCTAATTGTAAGACAAAGCAGCTCCTTGTACAGCATTCCTAAATAAATGTTTCTTTATTTTTGAGGTTGTGTGACCGCCTGCTGCGTCTTTCTTGCATGTGCGTGAGCAGTCATGAGGCACTATACGTGCTTGTCTGCAAAGGGCTTTTTGAGGAAGAGCTCACTGCTGCGATTGACTCCCCAGGAAGTCTGAGGTCACACACTTGGCTAGAGCACAGGAGCCCAATAAAAAGAAAGGTTTTGCACTCCTGAAACAATGCCAGAAACTTTATGTCCTTCACTGTGCACTTTGGGTCATGTGGTCATGATGTGGATTTCTCTAGTACTAATCCCCCTAATGATGGCTTCTCCCAGCCCCTCCACACACCCCACCAGGTCCCGTGGCTTGGCAGCCCAGACAGAATAAAAGCAACGCAGAGTTTGGCTTTTGAACTGAGTTCAAGGCAATTAAAGTCAGGGACTAAGGAGGAAAGCAGGAGCCTTAGAAATACCAGCATAATAAGCAGTGTGACTGGGGCGCTCTGTAAATTAACTCAATTAGACAAAGCCTGATTTAACAGGGGTGGGGGGGAGATGGTGAGAAGCACCTCCCTCGTTAAATTTGGCTTAGAGGTGCTTCTAATGAAATTAAATTTGTGTTAGTTGTTTGAATCATAAAACAGCATGTGCATGTGCATGTACACGTGTGTGCACATGTAGGCTCTGATTTTTGTGGGCATTTTTTAAGAAGAGAGGAAAAGAACGCAAATAACGTTAAGTACCAAAAGAAAAAGATTTGAATGAATGAGTGCCTAAGAAATCAAGAGTGGATCACAAGGAGGAGGGCAAGACAGAATCAAGGCGTAGCAAGTGCGCGAGTTCTCCCAGCCACACAGCCATGCGTTTCCTGCCTTGGGGGCTTCTGCTCGGCTGCCTGGGCTGCAGCATCTGGCCTGGAGCCTGGGCCCAGTTCCCCAGGGTCTGCATGACCTTAGACAGCCTGAGGAAAAAGGAGTGCTGCCCGGCCCTGGGTGTGGCGCCCGGCAATGTCTGTGGCTCCCAGGAAGGCCGGGGACAGTGCTCAGAGGCGCGAGCAGACACCAGGCCCTGGAGTGGCCCTTACGTCCTGCGAAACCGGGATGATCGCGAGCGGTGGCCAAGGAAGTTCTTCAACAGGACCTGCAGGTGCACAGGTGAGGCCGCTGGGCAGGGAGGCCGGGGCTGTGGGAGGAGGGTATGGGACTGTTGACAGAGGCCTGGAAAGACCAGGCAGCTGTCTTTGGTAGCCAACGGCTGATGTCTCGCTTATGTCCTTCACATCCCGTAGTCCATCTGGCTGTGAGAGCTACCTAATAAATAGTGCACAGGCCGAGCCTGGTTTTCTGAACTCGTGCCAACACACCTTTGGCTTGTTTGTTGGAAGAGGCGGCTGTGGAGCTGGAGCGTCAGCTTTGAAACCCAGAACAAGTCCCTTCAGGGTAGAAGCGCTGCCTCCCCGAGATGCGTGGGCGCTCGCAGCAGGCCGTGGTGTGGTTATCGCTGGGAGGCAGGAGCAAGGCAGCTGTGGTGTTCTGCAGCCTGACCTCAGCATTTCCCATGATCTGAGCAGATCTCAAGCACAGTCCGTCTTTCTCGTTAAAGCTATGACTGGGCTGTGGCTTTGGCAAACTTGGGGAGCCAGGCAAGGCGGCTTGCTCTGGGAGCGGGGAGAGGGCTGTTAGCAGACAGAAGTGGCTTTCTTTTATTCTCGTCTGCATCTGAACCGGGCATTTCCAAATTTGCACCTTGGTCTCTTGTACTACCTGCTTCTTTGAAATCTCGGTGCCTTTCTTACTCCTCGGGTTCTCCTGGGACTTCTCCATAACTCCCCACCCTTGGCTGTCCTGTTTCTCACAGCCAGGCGCAGTCCTCATCAAAGCTTCGAGGCCAGTGTGATATTGAAACCCAAAAACATAAGCAGCAGCTTCAGCAAAGACCCTAGATGCAGCTGTCCGGTGGCTGGCTGCGTGATGCTTTTCCAGAATATTTCTTTCTTCTATTCTGCTAGAAGACTGAACATAGGAGAATACAGATAACTGAACTACACGAGGGTATGAAAAGGTGTTATGAAGGCAAGGTATCAAGCCCTGTTTTGCTGATGTAGAAATGACTTTAGAGCTGGGCGTGGTGGTGTACACCTGTAGTTCTAGCACTTGCAAGGCTGAGGCATGAAGATCCCCATAAGTTTGAGGCCAGACTGGGCTACATAGTGAGTTCAAGGCCAACCTGCACTACAGAATGAGACCCTGTCTCAAAAAAAAAAAAAAAAAGAATGAATGACATTGGATTTTTTTTTAACTCTAGAAGTTCTAGCTTTATAATTAGTTGGGAATAGAAACCTAGATCTCATCCATGTTAGGAAAGTGCTCTACCACTGAGCTACATCCCTAGATCTTCCAAATATATCTTTATTCATATGAGTCCCAAGAAGTTTTAGGTCTTAATTTTCCCTGGATACTAATTGTGACAAAGATTTTAGTAGCATATTGACTATATAGTATGCATTTCTTCTAAGCTGTTGAACTTTTGTTTCTATTAGACATTGTCTCATAAAGTCTCCAAAGTGTTTATTCTAATCAGAGGTACCAGGTTTCATCATGCCTATATGACTGACAGCTACACTAACACAGAAACTCTTTTTGTCCAAAACCCCAAATACGGCTTCAGGACTTCAGGACTTCAGGACTTCAGGCTTCAGGACTTACTTCCTGTCCATGAGTAACAAAGGGCCACAACTCTCAAAAGTTGGGAACTTCCATTTTGTAGAATTCTGGAGAAGAAGATTTTACTGCATCAGACATAATTTTCAGTGTTCCTTCTCAACGTCTCCTTATATTTTTGGCCTGGTTGGCTGCTTTAGTTTTAAAAGGTGGGGATGGAAAGAATAAGAAATGGCAGAACAGAAGACGTGATGTCTATTTTTCGTTGCTGAGGGGATGTTTATAAATACACCTCCAAAAGGCCAAGACTTTAGGGTCACATTTGCCTACTGTGAGAATCAAAAGGGATCCCGTGCTCCAAATGGCAGTGACGCAGCACACGGCTTGTCCTGGGTGTGCAGGCTGTCTCGCGGCCAGAGTCCATCCCAGAGAAGCAGGGCTTCCTCAGGGCACAGGGTCTGCATCTCCAGCCAGTGTCAAAGCCTTGATTGTCCTCATCACCCCCTCCTCAGGTGTGGCTCACCTCCTGTCTATGATTTGCTCAGCGTAGTGTCAGAACCATTGCTCTTTCCATGCCAACTTTGTGTTTTTTTTTAAAAAGGTAACTTACAATGTATTGCATCTATAAATTTCATTTATTAGGTTTTTCCTTTTTCCAGGTTTATTAAGGTATAACTAGTATACAAAACACTACGCATGATTAATAAGTACAATTCATTGAGTTTGGACATACAACCTCTTGTTACTGTGACTACATCAAGGTGATAAACATGCCCATCACCTCCAAATGTTTCCTTGTGTCTCTTGGCTTTGCTTCTGTAAGAACATTTAATGTGAGCTCGGCACTGTTAGCACATTTTTAGGTGCACAATAACTTACTGTTAATGACAGGCAGGTGTTGCAGGGCTGATCTCGGGGACTTCTTCATCTCTGTCTCTGTAGGCTGACACTCATGGAGGGGCAGCTCCCCGTCTCCCCCTGCCCCCTTCGCCCTGATGATCTCTAGGTATTCTATTGTCCACTTCTGTACATTTGACTACTTTAGATGCCTCATTTAGGAGGATTCATGCAGTCCTTCTGTGACTGATTGATCTCACCTAACACAGTGTCTTCCAGGTTCACCCGTGTTGCAAAAGATAAAAATTTCCTTCTATTCCTTTTCTTTTCCTCCTTCCCCCTTCCTCTTCCTCCTTCTTCGTTGCTCTTCCTTCTCCTTCTACACTTCCTCCTCCTTCTCCTCTCTCTTCTTCTTCAGGGCAGGGTTTCACTGTGTAGCCCGGGATGGCCATGACCTTATTATCTCCCTGCCTTAGTCCCTGGGGGCTAAGATTACAGATGAGTGTCACCATGCCTGGCTTCTTTTGTTTTAAGTCAGAAAAATATTCCATTTTGTTTCCATACCAACTTTGGATGACTCTGCTTACGTTGGCTAGATGGTGTTTGGGTATTGGCGCACCAGGCTGACTCCTTGGAGGCTGAGCTGGGCAGTTGCTCGTGTGTACAATGATCATCTCATGGTGTGTCGAGTGTCCCAAAGCGAGACACAGGCCCTTCAGTTTTTTTTCCTCCCACCAAGAGTGAGCTGCTTGCCTTCCTGGGGTAGCTTTTTCATGGTTTGCAAGTAGTTGTTCAAATTTAAACTTGATCTTGAGCCTCCTAAAGACCCTACCTTCTTGTAGCCTTATACTTCTTTTGCAGGTGGAGGCCTTGGGACTTCCCTGGACTCATCCAAAACTTAAGGAAGAAATGTAGTGCAGTTCTGGCAAGCAGACTGTTGATGAACAGAACAGAACTCTGTTAATTCACTGGGCAAATAAACACCCCATAATTCTATAGTCATGAACCTGGTTTTTAAAAAAAATCTTAGCTAAATAAATAAATAAGTAAACAAATACAGACTCTGGGAATTAAAAAAAAAACCCTTAAATTTTATGCTCAAACTCCCTAGAGAACTTCTCTGTGCTCTATAGGGATAAATTGAGACAGAAAGAAATGATTAAACCTAACTGTCAGGAAAAGCTAAATTTCAGGAGACTTTGGCATCAGCTTCACACTTTATAAGGCATTTATGAGATTATGCTGGGCATAACTGTGTCTTCGGGTTTTTGAAAGCTTGGGCACCAAATAGTTTTTGAACAGTTGGCTGAGAACTTCTTGTTTGTACAAGTGACTAAGTGCCTCCATATTCCAGTCTCTAAAATGGGGATAATGATGAAACCACACTTGTAAAATCTTTTTGAGCTCTGTAGATGAAAGGGCCTATGTAAGTATAAAGCATTGTTATTAAAATAATAGAATCTCTAATTAAAAGGAATACGCTATTTAGAGTTCCTTGTAAACTCACTAATTGGTGGTCGTTAAGCTTATTTAGTCTAATAGCTTTTTGAGGCTGGCCCGATGCGGCACATGTAGGAGCGTGTAGCATTCAGATGTTCTCACTCTCTTTATCCCTGCCTGAAGTAGGTAAAGGGCTTTGACTTTTTAAATTTAATTTTTGCTGGAGGACATGCACAGTGGTAAATAGATTGGTATCATCTATTTTTCTCTCTCCATTTCCCAGTAAGATAACAATCCCTTCTAAACTTCCCAACTTTATATATATATAATAGATTAAGGGAAATAAAACTCATGGTAAATTGATGTAAGATACTACCAGGAAATCTGAATTAAAGAAATGAGTCTTTTGCGTGCTAGGTTTTGTGGTTGCTATGTTTTTTGGTCATCTTCAACATTCTGACAAATTCTACAGTAGGCCAGGTCTATGAGCTCCGAAACAAAATTTCCTGGCTGAAGGGCTGTGATGTATTTTCTCTGAGACATGTTGGAAAAGGAGTTCTTTTAATTAAATGCATTTCCGGGTCACAGACGAGCTGCAATCCTGATGAATGCTTTCTAACCAGTACTTACACATTGTGTTTCAGGGCCAACTCTGCTTCCACTAAAGTTCCCGGTTCGCCGTATAGTCGTTGTAAAGCATCTCGGATCCTGAGCCAGGATTCATCCTGTCGTCCTTTGTTATTCTGTGGAGCTTGGTTTATTCCCATTTTCACTTTTCCCACAGTGAGACTTGTGTTTCTATTTCATCATGCACATGTTCTTCATTTCCACTAGACTACGGCATTGTGCTTCATTGGTATTTGTGTCCCTTAATGCTCAGTGCCTTTCTTTCAATTTTTAACTCGTTCCTTCATCAGCCAACTTTTCCTCGGCACTAATTTATGTTAGGCTCTTCGTATACAGAGGGGGGGAAATGACATAATTTCTAGGCCTGCGCAGTATAGTGATAAGATAGATACAAAAATAAATCATTGCTGTCCTATTTGAGGAGTAGTATTCAATACTACTAGCACTAACCACACCAGACACTATTCTTTTTTTTTTTTTTTGGTTTTTTGGTTTTTCTCCTTTACCGAGAACCGAACTCACGACTTTGTGCTTAGCCAGGCAGGCGCTTTGCCGCTGAGCTAAATCCCCAGCCCCATCCAGACACTATTCTATGTGCTCCATATTAATGCGTTTGTTTTTCTTAAGAATGCTGTGAAAAAGAACTCTTAAACAGGCTCTGAAAGGTCAAGCCCAAGGTCACCAGGAATGGCAACTTGTCTGGACACACACAAAGCTATGAGAGCACAGACGGCATGTTGTGGTCTCTTTTAAAAAAGATATTAGTTTTCTATTTAGGAAATGGAGTAAAATGGAGTCCAAAGTACTAAGACTCCTCGTGTTCCATCCCCACCACCCTCCCCCTTCGAGGCGCTTCTTGTTTTGGTTGCCTTTAGGTAGCAGATGTTTAAATGAATGAGGGAAGCAATTAGTTATTGCTAATTTTGTTTCTCACAGGCAAGAGGAATCATGGTAAAGATGTCTCTCTGGTGTGAGAAGCTGAAAGTGTAAATAAGAGCAAAAGCCTGTAGTAGATATTGGCAGATAGGAAGAAATTATTCCAAGGGAAAGGGAAATGGGGGGTGGTGAAAGGGAAAGGATAAAGTGGAAGCAAAGATTTGTAAATACGGAGGAGAAGTGGGGTGGAAGAGAGGGGAGGGGAGTGGGGGAACAGAAGAACTAAGATATTTCATGTACAGGTTCAAGTTCCCGATGGTGGATGCGATCTAAATTATACCAATAAACAATTATAAAAAAAACCTCCGTGGCGTGGGTTAGGGATTTACTCAGCTTCCCCAGTGAGATCCCCAAATTCAAAAACAAATTTCATGCCTTTAAATGTAAGAATGTATTGAATTTAGTGTTATAAGATGTAGATGTGCTGTTTCTTAGAATTTTATAAAATAGGGCTGTTTAGATTCACAGCAGTTAAGCAGAAAGCACTTCTACCCTCCCATTCCTATACCTCCTCCAACCACCCCTTCCATGTCCTGTCCCGGATTGGGGGTGACACATTCGCTACAATCAGTGCATCTGCCCTGATACACCATCACCCAAATGTCTTAGCACTCAGAAACAAGGAATTACTCTCTTATTGTAGGGAGGTGACTGCACATTTACCTCTAATCATCTGACCCTACTGTAGAAGAACAGCTGGAAGGGTGACTGAATTCTCATTTGTCTACCTTTCATTTTGCTCTTTAAAAAGAATTCAGACACACAAGCTTAGACAGAGTATCTGGAACATGTGCATCTCAAAAGATGCCGTATTGCTATAAAAGCCACGAGAATAGGGAATATGGTTTAATGAAAGTTGTTTTTTTTTTGTTTTTTGCTTTTTCTCTGGTACCGGGAACCGAACTCACGACCTTGCGCTTGCCAAGCAGGCGCTTTGCCGCTGAGCTAAATCCCCAACCCCTTAATGAAAGTTGTTTTAAAAATAGATATTATAAAATTTTAGTAAGATAGCCTGAGAGAAAATAAATAGATTCCAAGTTCCATGAAGCCCAAAGCAGCCTTAAGGGCATCTAATACTTAAGTAATTATTAAGTAAATAGTCGTGAAATAAATACCATGTATGTAATAGCGTCACCATTGATCGATATAAATTTCAATGTTTAAAGTAACTATTCAAAAACATAATTTTTCAACATGAAATAGTAAATTTTTTTTTAAATGCTTTTTACTTATGAAACAGGAAAATATAAATCGACTTTTGTAGGAGTAGGTAGCAATATTTTGTATGTTACAAAGGTGCAGGGAAGGCAGCTAACCTATGTTATTATATTTAATTCTGTCCATTGTATTTTTAATGAAATTTTCCTTGGCCATCAAAAACCCCTTGGGTTAATAGGAAGAAAACTCTCCTTTTTTTACGGAGTATAAAAATGCTGATCATTTTCTTTTTGTGCTGTTGGGAGCTTCTTTTTTCCTTCGGAGAGCCAATGTCCCTGTCTCCACAGCCATAGTACTTTTTACTTACCTCGACTTTGGCACTAATATTTCATTCAAATTGTTTACAGAGACTCTTGCTACTAATTCACAAGAGCAGGAGATAAAATTTATGTTTATTGTATTATGTATACCTGCCTTAGATTTCCTTCATTCATTCAGCAAACATTCGTCTTGTATAAGGGCGTGAAGAGGCCTCAACAGTAAGGTTTCCTGCTTTTCAACCACTTGGAATGAGGCCAAAATAGAGATGTTTAATGTTTG